CTCCACAGCGATGTGAAAGACTCATTGCCAGTTATCGCAAACGCTTGATTGCAGTTGTTGTTGCCGAGGGGTGGCACAACCAGTAATAAGGTTTAGGGGGCAATTACTTTTTCTCATAGGGCCAGGTAGGTTTGGATAGCTTTTTTCCCTTAATAAATGAAATCATAATTTAAAAGCTGCATTTTGTATTTACTTGGGTTATCTTTGTCTAATATTAAAATTTGTTTGATGATCTGAAACATTTAAGTGTGACAAATATGCAAAAAAATAAGAAGTCAGGAAGGGGGCAAATACTTTTTCACAGCACTGTATATGTTTTAATTACTCTGGCATTATGCTTTTTATATTAAGGAGCTTTCTGTGGAAATTTGAGGATTCAAAGTGCTAATTTAAGCTTTAGCCAAGGGGTGTGAAGAATGTAAGCTGGTTGCCATCGCCAATAATCATTGAAGAAAAAAAATACCTTCTAGATTTTGACTTTCGTTCCAAGTTGTGAGTATGCACAGTAATCACGACACGGCTCCTTCAAGTGTGTTTCTCAAGGGAGTAGTATTGTAGCAGATTAAGAGCTAAGCTTTTGTTATCCCCCGACAGATAATACGGGGGGATATAGTCATCAGTATTCTGTTCATCTGTAATTTCCGGAGCAGAAGTTGAATACCGGTCAATATTTTTGAATGAAACTCGCTGTGCGTATCAACCCATTAATGCCCTAATTTCTTTGTGAAGTAAAAGTTGCATTTTATTATTGGATATGGTGTACAATGAACGTATAACGCTTAAATTCTTGCCGAAAAATAATTATTTTGTCATCGAGGGCCCCAAATATGTATGTCCCATTACAAATGTACACAGATAGTTGAAAGCATAAAAAAACATCATTCTGTGAAAAACAGATTTAGATAATGCTACAATCTCCAATTTTTGTTCTTAGTCTTGTATAAATAGGTGTCTCAGAAAAAAATGGCACGCTCGCCTTTCAGAGCGTCGCATAGCACTGTTACAGTTTCAAGAAATTCATGCAAACGGCGGCCCCCACCACTGCTGTAAAGGGTTAACAGCCAAACGCGATTGCGCCACAGAGGCACCTGATAATGCAGTCTTAAGTGTTGCAGCACTGTTCTGCACTTAAACAGCCATGAGATCACCTTCTGATTGCAGTAGCACATAGGCCAGTGTTGTCACACAATAGTGGTATGGTAGCGTGGCCGAGCGGTCTAAGGCGCTGGATTAAGGCTCCAGTCTCTTCGGGCGTGGGTTCGAATCCCACCGCTGCCAGATTGGTTGTTTTAGTGTACTAATAGGGGATACACATGAGCATCTGCTCTCGTGTGAAATACAGCTGAGGGTGCTGTGGAGAGTGTGTTGTGATCTCCCCCCAGAAACTCTGGTACCCTGATTGGTTGAGATCATCTGGGCGCCTTTACGTAGTCAGGTGCAGAATTATTGGCACCCTTGATAAAAATGAAGCCCAACAAGCCCAAATCATCACCCCTCCACCACCATACTGGACAGTTGGTATGAGGCGTTTGTGTTGTTGCATTATGTTTGGTTTGTGTGCATTATGGCCAAACAACTCCACTTTAGTCTCGTCTGTCCAAAGGACATTGTTCCAGAAGGCTTTTGGTTTATTCAGATGCAACTTTGCACACCTGAGCCATGCTGCCATGTTCTTTTTGGAGAGAAGAAGCTTTCTCCTGGCAACCCTTCCAAACAAGCCATACTTGTTCAGTCTTTTTCAAATTGTACTGTTGTGAACTTTAAATTTTAACATGCTAACTGAGGCCTGTAGAATCTTAGATGTAATTCTTGAGTTTCGTGCAATTTCTCTGCGCATTGCACAGTCTAACTTTGGGGTGAATTTGCTGGGACGTCCACTTCTGGGAAGATTGGCTGCAGTCGTGAATGTTTTCCATTTGTGAATAATTTTCCTCACAGTAGAATGATGGACTTTAAATTGTTTGGAAATGGCCTTATAACCTTTCCCAGATTGATGGGTCGTAACAATTACTTCTCTAAGATAATTGCTGATGTTTTTCCCTCTTGGCATTGTGTTAACACACACCTAAATGAGCCAGACGAGCAAAGTGCCAAAAAGTCTGCTTTTATAGAGGTGGTGACACTTGCTGATGATCAATTAATCAAGCGCATTTGATCCATAACTCCTGGCTGCTGATTACCTTCTTCATTCCTATGGAAGCAGTAAGGGTGTACTTAGTTTCTCACACATGGCTTCTGCATTTTGGCCAAATTTTTGTAAAATAAATAATGGCACTATGAAATTTGTTGTGTGTTGTTTTACACCTGAGGGTAGATTTACATAATTGTATCTCCCCGACGACGATAGTCGGGAGATACTATGGTTTAGTTCCAGGGCCGCCGGCGCTGCAGCAGCAGAGATTTTCTGTTCCGGGCTCTGGAAAACACAATTATCACAGGAATGTTTTCAAATTTTGCACAGGCAAAGATATATATGTGACAATGCTCAAGACTGATTTTCGATAATTTCGGATGTCCAATATGGCTGCCGGCGGCCATTTTGTCCGAAATTTGGGGATCGGGGAGGTACACGACTCGGTCCCTGTGGCGACAGAGTTATTAGCTTACCGGCCCTATGGGCCGATAAGCTATTGGCGTGGTGTGGCGTCCGTCGTCCGTCGTCCGTCGTCCTTCGTCTGTCGTCCGTCGTCCGGAACATTTTTTATCTTTTTTTTTTCGCCTGATGAATTTTCGTGTAAATTTGCAATAACATACTACTAGACCATATCTCCAGACGTTTTTCTCGGATTTTTCATTAAATCATTTTTGTCCGTTTTATGGGCCCTTGAAATTTTGGCTCCAATGTTAAAGATAGGACTGAGAAATTATAAAAAATCATTTCTCAAAAACTGCGAGATAAATTTTTTTTCTGAATCAAGCAATCAACTTACCTTGGTACCATCAATGTACAGTGCGAGCGCATTTTGATTGAATCGACGGAAGTGGGTCTAGTGGGGGCGCTGTACTTTAACATTGGGTCTTATGGAGAATGGGCCAAATCGCCTGTGGAAGCTAAATGGTTGCAGATAGAGATTATGTTTGTATTACTGACAAATAGGAAGTAATATATGACCTATATTTTGCCTGTGCTAAAGTCGACCTCAGATGACCTTGAAAGGTCAAACTAGTGGTCAAGCAAAATGTTACAATTTTCAAAGGTTTCTAGGCTGGAAAATATTGAAGATTGGGAACATATGTGCATTGAACACTTATAGGAAGTCATGTATGAACTTTTATTTGGTGGCCTTGAACTTGACCTTCGGCGACCTTCGAAGGTCAAACTTCACATACTGAGATTTCAGTGACTTCTATCACCAAAACTATTACAGATAGAGCTTTGGTTTGTATTGTGGGCATATAGGAAGTCATGTATGAAGTTTCATTTGGTGACATTGAACTTGACCTTCAGTGACCTTGAATGCCCAAACTTCACAGTGAAATGTTAATGACTTATATGAGCAAAATGGTTACAGATAGTTTTGGTTTGTATTGGAGCTGTATAGGAAGTCATACATGAACTTTCATTTGGTGGCCTTGAACTTGACCTTCGGCGACCTTCAAAGGTCAAAATTCACATAGTGAAATTTCAATGACTTCTATCACCAAAACTATTACAGATAGAGCTTAGGTTTGTATTGTGGCCATATAGGAAGTCATGTATGAAGTTTCATTGGGTGACCTTGAACTTGACCTTCAGTGACCTTCACCAGCCAAACTATACGGTGAAATTTCAATGACTTATATCAGCAAAATTGTTACAGATTGAGAGTAGGTTTGTATTGGAGAGTATAGGAAGTCATTTATGAACTTTCATTTGGTAACCTTCATATTGACCTTCGAAGGTCTAACTTGACATAGAGAAAATTTAATGACTTCGGTCGCTGAAAATGTCACAAATGGAGCCTAGGTTTGTTTTACTGACATGGGAAGTCACATATGAACTTTCATTTGGTGACATTCAGCTTGACTGTTGATGACATTTGAAGGTCAAACTTGCCATAATACAATTACAATGAATTGTATTGCCAAAATGGTCACAGATTGAGTTTAGGTTTGTATTAGAGACATATAGGAAGTCATAAATGAACTTTCATTTTGTGACCTTCATATTGACCTTTGAAGGTCAAACTTGACCGAGTGAAAATTCTATGACTTATATCACTAAAAGGGTTACCGATAGAGCCTAAGTTTGTATCACAGACTTAAAGGAAGTCACACATTAACTTTCATTTGGTGACATTCAGCTTACCTGTTGGTGACCTTTGACGGTCAAACTTGACATAATACAATTACAATGCCTTCTCTTGCTAAAACGATCACAAATGGTTCCTAGGTTTATATTCAACATGTATGGGAAGTCATACTTGACCATTCATGTAATGACTTTGATATTCACCTTCGAAAGTCAAATGTCACCTAATGAAAATTCAAAACTGCTTCAGAGCTTAGAATTGAATTACAGGAGGTCTTATACATTTATGTACACTTTTATTTAGTGACCTTCACATTAACCTTCAATAATACAAATATTACACCTCACATGAAATTTTCATCACTCGTATCATCACTATAAGATTTTTTGCCTGTAAGCTACGGGACCCTTGGTCCTATTTTCTAGTTGAAGGACCTGATTAGGACCAGATGATTTTTTTATTATGTCCTGATATGTAAAACCATAGAACTGAACTGTACTTTCATTTTCTCATGACTGTAGACTTTGAATTACTGGTGTTGGGCTACACACGTTCAATGTCGTGTTTCAGTGAGGTGGAACGCTTAAAAAAAACTTTGTGCGCCCTGGGCTGGGCTCAAACCACCAATCTTTTGGTTCACGGCTGATTGCGCCACAGAGACACTTGGTTATATTGAATGCTACGCCACTGTTACACAGCTAAACAGCTATGAGATCATCTACAGTTTGTGGAAGCAGCTAGGCCACTGTTGTACTGTAGTACTAATGTGGTAGCATGGCCGAGTGGTCTAAGGCGCTGGATTCAGGCTCTAGTCTCTCTGGGGGCATGGGTTCGAATTCTGCTGCTGTCACGGAGGATGTTTTAATGTAACATTAGGGAACACGTGTATCTGATCTTTCTTGAAATCAAGCTGTGTGCGCTGTGTGTGTGATCCACCTCTGCAGTAATTCTCCCCAAAAAGTCTGGTAGCCTGATTGGTTGAAACCATCTGTTGGCATTTACACAGTTAGGTGCAGAATTATTGGCACCCTTGATAAAAATGAAGGAAAAAAAGCTATATATCAAGAAGGAATCCAGTTTGCTGTCCATTGGGCAACTTCAAATCAACAGGGAGGCTATATACTGTTATCTTAACAAGTTATTCTAATGTTTAATAATTACAGTCTTACGATTTTAACAGGCTGTTAATTTCTGGTGATGAAGTAGATTTTATGTGTAGAGCAGTCATTTACCTCTTAAGTCACATTTTAACAAATATCCATGCATCCCCTGAGAGATAAAAGCCGCTTGGAATTATGAGATAATGGCAGTGTGCTGAGCACAGATTTGGTTTAACCCAGCGTGAAGTTTTCTTGAGTTTAATACACACCTTTGCTTGGTTTAGCTGATGGGAGTGAACACCGGGAACACATTTCTGTCCTACACACCATTAACCTATCCAGACATCAGTCGGGCTGTCACATGCGTCACCACTTCAGTGTCTGATGGCCATTTTTATTTGAATGAACTTGAAAGGTCTCAAATAATTTTTCTATGGGTGCAAAAATATTCAGTACAAACAGACACTGCATAGCATGATGAAGTATCTGTCATTTTTCTTCAACTGAAATTCAAGTGAATAACTCACCTGATTTCTCATAACAAACAGACCACACCCTGACCCTGTGCAGTGAGTGCATACTCAGACCACACCCTGTTCAGTGAGTGCATACTCACACCACACCCTGTTCAGTGAGTGCATACTCAGACCACACCCTGTTCAGTGAGTGCATACTCAGGACCACACCCTGTTCAGTGAGTGCATACTCGGACCACACCCTGTTCAGTGAGTGCATACTCAGACCACAACCTGTTCAGTGAGTGCGTACTCAGACCACACCCTGTTCAGTGAGTGCTTACTCAGACCACACCCTGTTCAGTGAGTGCGTACTCAGACCACACCCTGTTCAGACTTGACTTGTTGAAGTTCGCCCTGATGACACTCACTCAGACCAACTGAAAGCAGCACCAGCATCGCGTTCGCGGCTGGTAAAAATGTGTCCCTGTCCCAAGAATTATGATGCTCACAGGCCTCTCTCCCTCCTCATCCTCCTCTTCGTCTTCTCCCCCTCTCCTCTGCAGTGCCATCATCGAACACACCAACAAGGTGATCTACCTGGAGGACGACGACATCGCGGCGGTGGCAGAGGGAAAGCTGTCTCTGCATCGCGTCCGTCGCAGCGCGGGGGAGGAGCCTGTCCGCGCCATCCAGACCCTGCAAATGGAGCTGCAGCAGATCATGAAAGGTCAGAGGTCAGGGGTCAGGGCAGATCTGGCCAATCAAACGCCTCGTCCCCCGCCCAGCGTGTCTTCTGCCTTCCAGCTCGTACCTCATGGAAGTTTCCGGAGCTGCCCCTCGAGTTTATGGACGTTCACGAAAAGGCATTCCCCAGGACAGAATATTGGTTGCCATAGTATCGTCCTTGGCCATGCCCCTTCATGAATATTCATAGGATGCAACTCATTGCAACTAATTAGTATCAACGGTGTTGGGACTGCTCTGTGATGAGGACATGCAGTTGAGTGTCTTATAGAAATGTAGAACCTGTGGCCGTACGCTGACAGTCGGAGATTTCTGAGAGATGGCTGATTCACTTTTAATTTCAAAAGTATGTTTAATAGGATGGAACTGTATTACATTCAAATGGGCTCCAAATGACTGCTAAACTGAATTTAACTCGATGTGGTCTCGTCAACTACTTTGTGAAAACTTAAATCACCAGCATTGAAAAGTGGCAAAGATAAATGTGCATGGACTTCAGTTCCAGATCCCTTTTTCCATTTTTTTAAACAGATATTTTTCTCACTGGAAAAGCACATTTTCTGAACTGCCGGAAATACTCCATTTGTAGTCCAGAACATTACTTGCCTGGGTCATGATGTAGCAAATTAGCATAATAACCGCCCAGCATCTAATTTGGCACGCCCTCCAGCAAAGCTAGGTAGAGCGGAGGCTGGGAAGTGGAGCAGGGGCGTGGCATTTCTGACACACCTATTGAGTGGTTGGCCAATCACAACAGAGTGGGCTTTAAAAAAAGGGGGGGAGGTCTTAAAGAGACAGGAGGTAAAACAGCCTGTTTGAGGTGCTGCACACACAGCCTGTGCAGCTGTAATTCGGTGCTTTTGGGACATGAAAATATTAGTAAATAGACTGCAAAATGTAAATATTAAAGTGGGAAATGGGCATTTTATGGCCTCTTTAAAGCCATCTAATCATCTCTCCCTAGTCACGGCGGCAGACTGTTGCTGAGCTTCCACTGCAGAGTTGTCATGTAATTTCCTATATGAGAGATGACACTTCACAGTCATGGCACTTTACCGAAACCTGCGTTTGCACAAAGCTTACAAGTGTGAATATGTAAATAAGCACTGTGTCATCGCTTGACTCTGACCTTTGCCCTCCGACCTTTGCTCCTGCTGCAGGGAACTTCGAGGCCTTCATGCAGAAGGAGATCTTCGAACAGCCAGAGTCCGTCTACAACACCATGAGGGGCCGAATCTGCTTTGACACCAACACGGGTATCCACCAATCACAGCTTTTCACTTCTCTGTGCACATCCATGCTAACTGTTTCAGTCTGGCTAGTGGGTAGCTCATAGCTCATGGTGGGGCAGCACACTTAAATAGTGGGTAGCCCTGTTGCCTCACTGCAAGACGGTCACTTTTTCAAATCCTTTCTATGAGGAGTTGCACTTTCTTTTTATTTTTGAGTGGGTTTTTTCTGGGTACTCTGGTTTACTCTTGCAGTGCTAGGCCAATTGGAGACTCTGGTTTGGACTTTGGTTCAAGTGTGTGTGTCTGGCCTGGAATGCAAGGCTAAGATCACCATTGAAAAAGAGATTTTGGTTTTAACTGGTTAAATAAAGGATTGATGAAGATAATGGATGGGTCTCGTAGTTTTCACTCGTCAAAATAGTGGCCAAGGTCATTTTCTTATTACCAGTGGAATGGCTTAACCCCTAGAAAGGGAATGAAGGTGGTTCCCTGGACAAGTGTTTCCAGTGGAACATTAGCTCTGAAATGCACTAATATTTGGACTCAGAATAAAATTAGCTTTAGGACCCAACAAACACAAAGTCTGAGAGCCATCTTCCTACGAGCATTTGGTGGAACATTCTAGACCTGTGGTCACGAACCCTGTTTCTGGAGATCTTACATCCTGTCAGTTTTCACTCTGATGCAAACATCGCACACCTCATCGAACAGCTAGAGATTTGCACTGAACGGCCAATTAGTTGAATCATTTGTGGAAATTATGGTTGGCGAGACAACCAACAGGATGGTATAACCCCAGGGAAATTGTTGTTGACCGCTGTTCTAGATCAGTGTTCTCTGTTCTATCTCCAGTGGTTCTGGGTGGACTGAAGGACCATCTGAAGGAGATCAAACGCTGCCGACGCCTCATCATGATTGGCTGCGGGACGAGCTATCACGCGGCTGTGGCGGTAAGCGAGCAGTCGGGTGTGTCGGCGTTACTGACTGTTGACACTGACTGAATGGACTGCGTACAGCCAGGGCAAACCCTCTCTCATTGATTGACAGGGAATGAGCAAGTCAAGGACAGCATTTGGTCACCAGAGCACTTAATCTCAAGAGTTAATCATTTTTATTTTTCTTTTTTAACCTTCAGCTGACAAGGGTGGCACAAAAACATTAAGACCAAGACAGTGGAAGCAGGAACGTCATTAGCATTACAGAACTACATTAGCAAACAACAATAAGCAGCATTTACTGATCAAAATGACAAATGAGAATCCTTAAATTGCGATTGAAATTGCACCTTCTTCTCTCTAAATTATAGAGCATTGATTTTCAAACTCCTGATAATTATTATCGCGATAATGGTTGGATGGTTTTCCCTTTCGAATTCTGAAAATGTTTAAGCCTTGTTGGTAAACTCGCGGATTGCTCTCTGCAGAAAGAGCCAGAGTTATTTCACTCAATATTGAGGGTTTCAAACAGTTTCAAAAATGCTTCCCAGTTTGTTTCTGTTCAACGTCAGACCAAATATTCTTAATGGGGTTCAGGTCTGAAGTCTGAAATCTCTTCCTTCATGCTAAACAGTGGTAAAAATGCCCATTGTCTCATTTTTGCCCGGGAGTGTATACTATGTATTTTTGATCCTGTAACTCATTAGTGATACTGAAAGCATTCCCCTTACTTTTTATTCTGTGTATAGTGACATCTTAATAAACTGCAGTTTTTTTATAGTCCACAAAGTATTAATAAATCATTTGATAAAAAAAATAATAATCAGATAAATTATGTATGAGCTGATTAGAGTGAAAGAACACAATGTTCACTCCCAGAAATACACACTAAAGAACAGGCGACAGTCTGCGCGGTGATGAAATGTGCGACTGATCGATGATGTAGACGAGCGCGACGCTAACCTCCGGGCTCCGCCCACAGACCCGGCAGATCCTGGAGGAGCTGACGGAGCTGCCCGTCATGGTGGAGCTGGCCAGCGACTTCCTGGACCGCATCACGCCCGTCTTCAGGGACGACGTCTGCTTCTTCATCAGCCAATCAGGTACGAGAGGGGCGTGGCCGTCAGCTGCAGGCAGTAATGACAAGGAGGAAGACGTGTTCTCAGGAATATTCCAGTACACTGTGGCCTCCTGCATTTGGTGGTTTCTGTGTGAATATATTCCACTTTATGGCATCGCTAATTTAGAGGGCATTTGTCCTGCTTAAGAAAGATGTAGGACATGAATATGTCAGAAATAGCCATGTTTTAAGGTAACAATACATGTCGTCAGGTCTGTAATGAAGTATTTGGGTTGTAACAGTGTTTTAAAAGCTTGTAAT